TCCCTTCCGGAAAAGGGATGCTAATGTAGCACTTTGGAATAGGCAAATCCGCGGGGGATTTAAATATCCCCCACGGTATTTGCATTAACATGGCTGCCGCTTTTTTCCGGCTTGGAGATAAGCCGGAGAAAAGCGCCAGTCTAGACGTGATTCTCCGGAAAATAAAGCCTTTTCCGGAGGATCTCTTATTCCTACTTTCACTTTGAACATTTTTGAAAGTAGGAATAAGAGATCCTCCGGAAAAGGCTTTATTTTCCGGAGAATCACGTCTAGACTGGCGCTTTTCTCCGGCTTATCTCCAAGCCGGAAAAAAGCGGCAGCCATGTTAATGCAAATACCGTGGGGGATATTTAAATCCCCCGCGGATTTGCCTATTCCAAAATGCTACATTAGCATCCCTTTTCCAGAAGGGATGCCAGTGTAGACAGCCTAATAGAATTTACTTTTCATTTAAATTGTTCTTAATTATGTCATTAAATTAGTACTTTATATCTTGGTGATTATTAAGAGAATGTATTACCTCTGTCAAGATTCTTTTCTAGCTTTTGGTTGTGGCTGAGGTGATTTAAATGCAGAGTTGCTCCTTTGAGCTGAATGGAGTTTAGAACTCCAGATTTACATTACTGTAACTAATATCAGACTTTGGCCCTGTTTGCTTTAACCGAATGTTCCCATCTAAGCCAAAGCAATGCAATAAATTAAATGAAAATTGAAAGCTTTCATCAGCATATGCCTATAGATCTTAGTTGCAGTTTGTCTGCGTTTTTTAAAAATAACATATAAATGGTAATTGCGTTAACTGGTTTTTTTGCCTTTTGCAGAACATACAATAACACCTAATGAAAGCCTATCACTAGGTTACAAATCATAACTAGCTTTATAGAACCAAATATAATTGGACCCAAGCAATAATAACCATGAAGGAAATGTTTGGGTTCTTTGCAAGAGCAAGGCTTTTGCTGTTGTGATGGTCTACTGTATTCCACCCTATAATCCAGTTTTGCAGAACAAAGCTTGGATAAAGCCTTACCAAATGCACTATCTCGTCATTTTTTAAAATACTCTTTGAAATGTGTAATATTTACGTTGCCACTAGTATTTAAGCCACAGCCCCTGGAATCATGTTGGCAAATGAAAACTTCAGTCTTCCTTCTTTTAAAATAGGGGTTTCCTACACTACAGACTCAAACTGATTTATGTTAGGTCAACTTACAGCCACCACAGCCTAATTTTCTAGCCCTCATGGTTGCCGAAAAAAGCTTGAAAATATGAACCTGAAGCAAGGGCATCATTTTTAGGAGTTAGAGGGTGCAGTAGCGCCCCCAAAATTGGAACCCCTGGATTTCGTACTTGAGGTCTGCTTAAAGGTGCTTTCCCTGCCTCCAGAGGCAGTTCTTAAATGCAACAGAGTCTGAGCTGCTTGCAACTTTGCGAATAACAAAAGGCTGGGCATACAAGTAACTGAAGGATCATTAGGGCATCATGAAAACTTTGCTGGGTACTCCACTTAAAAGACAGGGGGAAAGAATAGGAATGAGATTTGCATTTGGATCACTGTGTTAAACTTATAAATTGTCTTGAAAAAAGGGTAAACAGTGACTAATCCAAAATTGACTGCAAAGAGTTACAAAGGGATTTTACAAAACTGGGTGATTGGGCAACACAAGGGCAGATGGAATTCAAGGTTGATAAATACAAAGTAAGACACATGGAAAAATACAGTCCTAATTATAGATACAAAAATGATGGGGTCTAAAATAGCTGTTACCACTCAAGAAAGAGATTTTGGAATCATTGTGGATAGTTCCCTGAAAAGATCTGTGCAATGTGCAGTGGCAATCTAAAAACTAAAAAGCTAACCATATATTGGGAATCATTAGAAAAAGAATAGATCATAAGACAAAATACCATATTGCCTCTACATAAAGTCATTGTATGCTCACATCTTGAATACTGTATGCAGATCTGGTCACCCCATCTAAAAAAAGATATATTGTATTTGGATAAAGGTACAGAAAGGGCAACAGAAATGATTAGGGGTAAGGAACAGCTTCCATATGAGGAGAGATTAACAAAACTGGGATTTTTCAGTTTGGAAAAGAAATGACTAATGGGTGGGTGATATGTTAGATGTCTAGAACAATGAATGTTGTAGAAAAATAGAATAAGGGAATTTTATTTATTCCTTCACTAACATATCACAAGAAGCTGATCCAATTAAATTTATAGGCAGCAGATTTAAAACAAAGAAAATACATTATTTTTTCACAATCAACTTGTGGAACTCTGCCAGGAAATGGTGAAAAAGCCTAAACTATAACAGGGTTCCAATAAGAACAAAATAAGTTCAAGGAGGATAGGTCCATCAATGGCTACTAGCCAGAATGGGCAGAGATGGTGTGAATGGGCAACAAGAGATGGAACATGATGATAACCTGTTCTGTTCATTCCTTCTGAAGCACCTGTCATTGGTCACTGGTAGAAGACAGGATACTAGGCTAAAAGGACCTTTGGTGTGACACAGTACGGCCATTCTGATGCTCTAACAAAGAGCTGAAATGTATCCACCCCCTTGCTGTAACACACTAGACTCCACTCCCCTTCCAGAGATGAGATAGAGCCCAGGATTCCTAACGAGATCTGTCTCACTCCACAGCGTTAGTAACAGAGTAAGAATATACCTTAAATTTTTAAGGCTAACCAGTGTCCTCCGCTCTCGCCCCCTATCACTCTTACTATACTTATGCTACATTGATGACATTTTCATCATATGGACCCACGGGAAGGGGACCCTTGAAGAATTCCACAGGGATTTCAACAACTTCTGCCCCACCATCAACCTCAGCCTGGACCAATCCACACAAGAGATCCACTTCCTTGACACTACAGTACAATTACATGATGGCCACATTTCAACTGTCTTATACCAGAAACCTACCGACGGTTACAGTTACCTACATGCCACTAGCTTCCATCCAAGACACATTTCCCAATCAGTTGTCTACAGCCAGGCCCTAAGCCACAATCGGATTTTCTCCAATCCCACAGTCAGGGTATGTCTACACTACCCCCCTAGTTCGAACTAGGGGGGGGTAATGTAGTCATACGGAGTTGCAAATGAAGCCCGGAATTTGAATTTCCCGGGCTTCATTTGCAACTCCGTATGACTACATTACCCCCCCCTAGTTCGAACTAGGGGGGGGTAATGTAGTCATACGGAGTTGCAAATGAAGCCCGGAATTTGAATTTCCCGGGCTTCATTTGCAACTCCGTATGACTACATTACCCCCCCCTAGTTCGAACTAGGGGGGGGTAATGTAGTCATACGGAGTTGCAAATGAAGCCCGGAATTTGAATTTCCCGGGCTTCATTTGCAACTCCGTATGACTACATTACCCCCCCCTAGTTCGAACTAGGGGGGGGTAATGTAGTCATACGGAGTTGCAAATGAAGCCCGGAATTTGAATTTCCCGGGCTTCATTTGCAACTCCGTATGACTACATTACCCCCCCCTAGTTCGAACTAGGGGGGGGTAATGTAGTCATACGGAGTTGCAAATGAAGCCCGGAATTTGAATTTCCCGGGCTTCATTTGCAACTCCGTATGACTACATTACCCCCCCCAGTTCGAACTAGGGGGGTAGTGTAGACATACTCTCAGAGACAAACTCCTACAGGATCTATATCAAGCATTCTTAAAACTAAGATACCTACCTGGAGAAGTAAAAAAACAGATTGACAGAGCCAGATGAGTACCCAGGCAACTGCTTGTTCAAGATAGGCCCAACAAAGAAAACAACAGAACACCACTGGTCATCACCTACAGCCTCCAACTTATACACCTCCAGCGCATTAGCAACAATCTACAACCTATCCTGGAAAATGACCCCTGACTCTCATAGACCTTGGAGGATAGGCCATTCCTTGCCTACAGACAACACCCTAACCTCAAACAAATTCTTTACAGCAACCATGCAGCACACCTTCAGGAACCCACCCCTGCAATCAACTCAGGTGCCAATTCTGTCCACACATCTATACTAGCGACATCATCACAGGACCTTACTACATAAACCATCACATCAGATACTCATATAACTGCACATTCACCAGTGTGAGCTATGCCATCAAGTGCCAGCAATGCCCTTCTACTATGAATATTGGCCAAACTGGACAGTCTCTACGACAAAGGATTAATGGACACAAATCAGATATTCGAAATGGTAACACAGAAACATTTTGGGGAACATTTTAACTTACCATAAAATTGGATCTCAAAAGTTACCATATTATTACAAGCCAATTAAAAAAACCAGCTTGATAGGGAAGCTGCAGAACAACGTTGATACCTGCAATAGAGCAGCGTTTCTCAACCAGTGGTACAAGTGCCCTCAGGAGTACTCGAGAGAAGTCTGGGGGGTACGTCAACACAACTGAAATTTGGAGAAAACTGAATTTTTGTTTTAAGCTTTACAGCGCTTTATTATTTTTGTACTTTTTACACTCAAAAATTTCATTGCCTGCCCGGCTATGATTAAGTTGTTTAAACAAATGTGTTTCGAAGGTACAAAAAAAATTGTGTGTCTGAAAACTGTAGGTAGTGGGGGTACTTATCTTTTTTTGTTTTGTTTTGAAAAAGGGGGTACTTTATAAAAAAAAAAAGGTTGAGAAACACTGCAATAGAGGTTTAAACAAACACCTTAATTGATTACCCACAACATTCCATATCCTAATGATATAAAAAGCCAAGCACTGGGTACTTAAGAGTACTTAGAACTCACTCCATCCACTTCATTTAACATGGACAATCTAAATGACAGTTTTTCCCCATTTTTTTCCTTCTCTTTCTCTGCTATTTATTTTGCTACCAGGACCCCTTAACTCCATTCATCTGAAAAAGTGGGTTGTACCCACAAAAGCTCACAATACCATCTACATTTTTGTTAGTCTCTAAGGTGCTGCAGGAGTATTTGTTGTTTTTTAATTTTTTTTCAATTACAGACTAAAATGGCCACCCCTCTGTAACTTCAGAGTCCCGTAAGTGACTTGCCACAAGATGTCAGAATATGTTAATGTTAGAGGTGAGTGGGTCTAATATTTATTTAATTTTCTTTCTTTTATATAGGAATTAGATACAGTGTCAGCTAACTGCTAGATTGTCTTCCAAAAAAGTAGAGTTTTCCAGGGTCTTAATAACCCCTGGATACAGGTAATATGGGGTGGGGGAGGAAGTGTGGATGATATTGGTTTCACCCCCCCTCCCCATTTGTTGCTTGGCTTGTACTGAGCATGCTCAGTAACACTGCTGCAGCCTCTTTCCTCAGTCCGTCCCTCATGCTCTCACTTTCTTCTTTCCCATCCCCCATCATGGCACGCTCCTTACTAAAATCTGAATTGCTGGCCCTGCCCTAAAGTCTCAAAGCTAGAAGGCAAATAAAAAGAAAATTTATATTTTAAGCCTTTTGATTGTTAAGCCAATCTCATTATTTTGATGGAATCTGACTTATTTGGGAACACAGGGTTGATGATACATGGTATCAGTAGGATCAGCAGCACTGAAGTCTTCAGTGGAATGATGCCAGTTTACATCAGCCAAGGATCTTGTTACAAATCTGTCCCTCTGGGTGTGGGTGATCAGACCACTCTGGGAATCTTATAGAGGAGAGCCGAACGATTGAGGGCACAAAAAGATCAGTATCCTTATATTAGTTTTATTCCATATATATATCAACAAACAAAGATGTTAAGATCATTTGTATGTAATTGCAATATATTCTATTCCCTTTTCAAGCATATTCAGACGAGCATGCTTAGCAAGTGGCCAACCCTGATAGTAGCTGGAAGAGGCTGGAGATCGGGCGGTACACATTCTGCCTCAGCGTCTGTTGATTTGTCTCTTCTGATACCCTGGTCCAAAGGACCCTTATACACTTCTAATCAGTAGCTTTGTCAATGATTGACTGAGAAACTTCTGCGTAAGACTTTCCTCTGAAACTGCTATATAAGACTTTCCTCTTGGTATCACACAGTCACTGTCCTTAGTTGTGCTTTTCTCATGTTTTTAATCACATGTTCCTCATGTTGTTTGTCCCATAGTCACGTTGCGCAATCGAGTCTCCTGATATTTTGCATCTTTGTCTTCAGCCTCTTCTTTCCACTCCACAATCATACCACATCCACACTTACTCTTATTCATTCTTATCCCATTAATTCATTATAATCAATACATAAATCAATAAAATCTGAATGAATCATATGAAGCTGAACATCTGTGTTGCAGTGTTCATCATTTTCCCCTGACCCCATTAGTTTATTTTGTTCTTACTATTTCCATTATAAATGTTTCTCCCACTGAGTATTCCCTGATGAATAATAGGAGTTCCTAATACCAATCAGAACATTTGCCTAAGTGTTTTCCTTAATAGTAAACTATGAGTATTTTAAACTTAACATGAACCAGGCATGGTACATTCCATCTGAGCTGTAGAGCTAGGCAAAATTTTTCACAAAATATATTTTTTCTAGGCATTGAAACTATGTGAATTTGGATCAAATTTGGCTAATTGTGTTGACTGAAACAACAGAAATTGTTTGGTTTTTTAAAAAATTGAATGACCCAAAATTGAATGAAAAGCTGAAAAAACTCAGTTTGGGGTCATATCCATTTGTAATTTTTTTCAGGTTTTCAGTTTGACCCCTGAACTGAAAAAAATTATTCATTCCATTCTACTGAGAAACCAGTTTGTTTAGTATTACAAAATATAAAGCAAGTTCCTTGCAGGGATGTAAGTAGAGAATGCATATGGCAGTATCAATATTTGGACGGACAGCTGGTCCTCCAAGAGAGGATAGTGGAGTGAATTTATCTGGTTTTGAATCCAGACTTTTTGAAATCACAGCCAATGTACTGCTTGGTTTAGTCTACAGTGCAGGGTTTTTGCACAAGAAGCCTTTTGTGGAAGAGTTCTTGCACAAAAACTTCTTGTGCAAAAGCGCGTCCAGACCTCAAAGTGCATCACAAAAGTGATGTGCTTTTGCTCAAGAGAGAATCCACACTGCATGGACGCTCTTGCGCAAGAAAGCTCTGATTGCCATTAACAGAATGGCCATCAGAGCACCTGTGCTTTTTCCGATAGGGTTTCTTGCGCAAAACCCGTCCGGAGCATCCACACCTACCTTTTTGCACAAGAGCTGTAGTGCAAAAAGGAGTTATTCTTCGTGGGGAGAGGAATAACTTTACCAGCAAAAGCCCTCTGTTCTGTCGATTTTCTTGTGCAAAAACGTGCTTGAGGTTGGACGCTCTGCCAGTTTTTTCGCAAAAACTTTGTAGTGTAGACATAGTCCATGAGGATCTTGTGGGTAATCCCTCCAATGAGTGCAGTGTACCTTGCATGAGTGTTAAAAGAACAGGAGTTAACCTAGATGTTCTCTACCAAAATTTTCCCTCTCCCAGTTCTTAAGTCATGCACAAAGCGATTGACTGGATTATCCTCTCCATCTCAGGAGTGACTATAATTTAGTAGTACTGCATGTATATTGCTTTAAAGTTATTTGGAATTAAATGCAGTATATACATGCCTACTACGTCACAAGAGAACATCAAGTATGGGAAAGCCTTTGGGGCATCATAACTCTTCGGTAACTGGGAATGTGGTGTGGATAGCAAGGATGTGACCTAAATTTAGGTTTGGGTGTAAGTGATATTTGGGAGTTCAAGGTTACTGTGTATTTGATTTGTGAATTCCTTCTCGGCAATCTGTTTTCCCATAAGGAAGCAATATTAGTGATTTGAATATCATATTCTAAAGAGACATCTTTCTTCTTTCTACACCTAGTGTGATTTAGAAGCCACAAGATGGCGCTAACGGTCAAAGGAAACAGCAAGGAGTTACTATAATTAGAAGTATTGTTTTACATCAGACTATTTCCCAAGATCTCTTAAAGGGATCTTTTACAGCACAAATGCTTTTCTGCTAGAGAATTACACCCCCGTGTTTTGTGATTGCTTAAAATCTACAGTTTGATTTGGATGGAGATTTGTTGTGGTGAAGAGAGATTAATTAAGGAACTCTGTAGTGTGGCAGAATATGCTGCCTAGCAACATGGAAATCTTCCTTGTTAGAAGATGGTAGGTCAGAGCTGGCTAACCTGCAGCTTGTGAGCCACATGCAGCCCCTGCAGTGTAGCAGTGAGGACCCTGAAGTGAAGGCCCATGCTGCTTGTGCAGGGTGCACTGCTTTATTTAGGCCAGCTTGTAAGCAAGTAGGGATGCAGAAGAAGCTTCCATGCCTTGTCTGGCTGTGCAAGACCCTCCCACAATAGGGGTATGTCTAGACTACATGGCTCCATCGATGGAGTCATGTAGATGAGTTTACTAGACATAGGAAAATGAAGCGGCGATTTAAATAATCGCTGCTTCATTTACATCAAAATGGCCGCCGCGCTGTGCCTATCAGCTGTTTGGCGGCACAATGGGGCAGTCTGGACGTGCCGGGGTCGACAAAGGAAGCCTTTGTCAACCGCTCCGGTATGCCTCGTGAAATGAGGTTTACCAGAGCAGTCGACAAAGGCTTCCCTTGTCGACCGCGGTGTGTCCAGACTGCCCCGCTGTGCCACCAAACAGCTGATCAGTACAGCGCAGCGGCCATTTTGATGTAAATGAAGTGGCAATTATTTAAATCGCCGCTTCATTTTCCTATGTCTAGTAAACTCATCTACATGGCTCCGTCGACAGAGCCGTGTAGTCTAAACATACCCTAGGAGACGACATTCTCTTGCATCAGCCCCTGTTAGGGAGCAAGATACTAACAGGGTGGAAGGAAGATGACAAAGTGAAGCTGATGTGCAGGAGAACCTAGCTGTGCCAGCCTGGAGCAACATGTGCCCCCACGTGCCTAAGGTAGCCCTGACAGTTCTGTCTTCTTAGGATAATCTCCCCATGGGACAAGGAAGCTTCACACAGCCCACAGGCATAGCTCTGCCATAAGTCCCATTGTCTAGCCCAGGAGTTCTCAACCACAGGATCCATGGGAAATGGAGCCACCCAGCAGTGGAGGGAGGTGTTGCAAGGGTAGAGCAGGGTCAAAAGAGGCAGGGTGAGGCCTGAGGCCCCCTTCCCACTCAGGATACCCCTGTGAACTGGTTTCCTGGGGAGACTATTAAAATGTCTGGCTACTCCCTCCATAAGTCCCATTGTCTAGCCCAGGAGTTCTCAACCACAGGATCCATGGGAAATGGAGCCACCCAGCAGTGGAGGGAGGTGTTGCAAGGGTAGAGCAGGGTCAAAAGAGGCAGGGTGAGGCCTGAGGCCCCCTTCCCACTCAGGATACCCCTGTGAACTGGTTTCCTGGGGAGACTATTAAAATGTCTGGCTACTCCCTGGAGAGTTATCTGCCACTGCATCAAATTTTGGAAAAGAGAGCCAGCTTCCCAGCGTCTGAGAGCTGTCAGCCTAGAACGGCAGAGCAAGACAAACATCCACCTTGCTTGGCACAGTGAGATTGTGGGAGAGACTCCAAGTCAAGTGAGATTGTGGGAGAGACTCCAAGCAAGGGGATTATTTCAAAGCAAAGCCTCACACTGTACTTTTTTGTGATGACCTCATATCTTGGGATGTAAACGACTACTTGAGTAGTCGAGTCACTACTCGACTATTCTCTTCACCCCTTTGCTGCCTCTGTATCAGAGACTGCAAAGGGGGGGAGCAGAGTTGATGCCGGGTGAGCCGGCTCAAAAGCTGGCTCCCCCCAGCACTGTCTTCATGGGAGGAGGAGGACAGGGGAGGCAGAGCCGCAGAGGGGGACCCAGCTAAAGTTGGGATTGCTTTGTCCTGGCTTGCTCCAGGTCCCTCGCTGCGCCTCTGCCTCTCGTGCCCCCTGACCCAACGGAGATGGTGCTGGGGGGAGCCAGGCGGCTCTTACTACTTTTGAAAAGCAGAGTCACCGTGGTCTGGGACCCAGCAAGAGCTGGGACTGCTCAGTTCCGGCTCATGCTGCCCCCAGGAGCTAATCCCCCTATCGACAAATTGAGTAGTCAATGGAAATTCCATCGACTCCTTGATTAGCTTATTAACCGCTACTTAACATCCCTGCTCATGTCCAAAACATGTGGCTGTTCCTGTAGTAGGTTTCTAAATCTGTGATATTCCAAAAGCTTGTGTCTCAGGGAGCAGTTAACGTAACAGATGCAAATGGACACCTTAATAGGAATTGAATATAGGTTGTGCCTCCAAAAACCAGCACTCTCTGATCCGGCAACATCTGTCGTCCAGCAGGACCATGGATGCTCCTGGACCAGACAGCCTAGGAGCCTAAGGGCAGGAGGGCCAGCTGAGGGTGGGGCAATAATGTACGCAGCTCGGGGCCAGTACAGAGTCCCCAGTAACCCTCAGGAGCTCGGGGCTGAGGCCGGAGCCCCAAGACAATGCGGGGCTGGAGTTTCCTGGCACACCCCAGGAGTATAGGGCTGGGGCTCTGTGGCAGCCCCTGGGAGCATGGGGCTGGAGTCGGAGCCCTGCAGCAGCACAGGACTGGAGTCCCCTGGCAGCTTCCTGTAGTGCAAGATAGGACTGGAGCGCTGCAGCAGCCCTCTGGAGGCTGGGACCAGGGCTGGAGCCCTGCAGCTGCCCTTGGATGTGCAGGGTCAGAGCCCCATGGCAGGAGTCGGAGTTTGTGCTGCCCAGGGAGCCAGCAGCAGCAGAGCAAGCAGTCCAGCCAGGCTGGGGATGGGGGAGGGTGAAGCAGGGTGCTTTCTGGGGCAGCCTGCCAGCAGCAGGCAATTGGCTTAGGGGTCGGTGGCAGGAGACCTCCCTGATCACGCAAATTCTCTTTTTCGGGACTGATCAGGTCCCCATGGTGCCAACCTGTACTGGTGAGTATTGTTGCAAATAGACCTATGATGCAGGAATGTGCCTCTGAAAGAAACAGGGCAGCTGAGCCCAGCACAGAAATCTGCCCCCCAGAGCATCCAGTTTCAGGACACAAGCTCCATCCTTCATTTCTGGCACCAGAGCAAGCTGGGGTTTGTTGCAGTTATATGATTGAGCGCTGGCACTTACAACTTTCATCGAAAATGGATTCCATCATAAGCGAAAGACTGATTCTGTTTTCCTTGATCTGACCAAGGCATATGATAAGATCCAGCACATGGGCCCTTTGGTGACATTGTCTAGAACTATGCCCAAGTTGGTTATTATGTACAATGGCTCTGTTTTTGAGAAATTGCCATTTCCGTGTACATATCAGCGGTAGAGCAAGTGCG